AAAAAAAAATGTAGGAAAAATAATTTCAGAGCATGAAAAAAAATCAAAAAATTATTATTGGAATATTTCAAATCAGTTCATTCCCTACCGTGAACAAAATCAGTTTTTATAAGTATGGATTATTTAAAACATATTTAAAATTAGAATACCGATCATTTTACATTGTCAAATTACTTAAATCATTCGTTCAGTAGCAGAAAATATGGACCAACTACCACGAACATATCGCTACCATTTCAACCAAACAATAAAAAAGTAAAACAATTAGAATAAAATGATTTTTAATAAAAAAAAAAGAAAATTATAGAATATGAAAGGAAATAATTTCAGTGGATAAAACTTAAACAAAAAAAAGTCGAATTGAAATTGTTATGACTTCGGAGAGAAAATATGAAAATGCATTCAGAAAAGCATTAAATTATTGATATGATCAAGAAAGTATGCATTAAAATTATTTGTAAAAGCGGAAAAAAATCAAAAAAAAGAAAAAAAAGGAAAGAAAAGCATTTTTCCAAAAAATAAAAAATAAAAAATAAAACAGAATGAATAAAACAATAAAAAAACAGGAGAAAGGATTACATATGTGCACGTGTATATAAATACAGCTAAATGGAATAAATCAAAATTTGGGAGTTAAAAAAGGCTGACAAGTTTAGCTGAAATAAATTCGCTTGAATAGTTTTCTTTTCTTCAGAAGCCTTCATGAATGATTACAAAAAAAAATGTAAAAAAAACGACTTTTTTACATCAATAAAAAATGTTGATGTAAAAAGTTTTTATGGTATGAAATACACTCTATTTGAAAAAGTTAACAAAATCTTTTTTCTTTCAAGGATGGAAAGCGGTTTGCTTTTTTATTTTTATTCATCTTTTTAAAGGATACTTCTCTTTTCCTACAATAATTTATTCAAAAAAATAAGCGTAATATTTTATATTTTGCTGCTCATTCTTTTTTACCTTTTCCGTTCTTTTCTCATTTTTCGCTTATTTTTTATTTTGAAAGCAAAAATTGACCTTTGATTTCATATGACAAATGTGATTTATATATGATTCTGCATGATCTGTTAACCCTGTTTGAATCAATAAACAAAGGAATAAAAAGAAACGTGATGAAAGATAAAAATAAAATTGGAAAAATTGAGGGGGTGTTAAAGTTCTCTCAACATTTGCTTGGTTAATATATCATGGTAGGGAGGAAAAAAAATCACAACTAGACAATGAAATGACTTGAAAAAGAAAAAAAAAACAGCTTGACATCTGCTCGTATTTAAGTTAAGCCATATGGAAAATCATTTTTGGTATACTGTAATATTTGAAACTTTAAAAGTAAATTAATTTAAACAAAATAGGTAATGCATCAATTAATTCAATTTTATAATTTCTCAAAAAGCGGTTTAAATCATGCAATGAAAATCCTAAAATCATATGACATCTAATTTCAAGCTTTTGTTACTAGCTATTCAAGATTGCAAAAAAAACGAGTCAAATGTTTTTTCGCTTCTTTTCTTACTTTATAAAATTTTCACGTTTAAAATTATTTCAGATAATTAAGCAAAATATAGCAAATCTCCGTTTTTTTTTTTTTGTATCATTCATATAATTTTCTGTTTTGTATCATTCATATAATTTCCCAAATATATTTGAAATTTTTTTTAAAACAAATTTCTTTTTTTACAAAGTGAAAAGAAAAAAAATTCTGACAGAATGTCTTTCTCGTAACCTATTTCTTTCCAAAAAAAATTTGTGAAAGATAAAATGATATTATTATGAAAATCAACAGAAATAAAAAAAAAACGATGCGAATTGAAAAGGGTAAAAAATGCTAAATTGATGATGATAAAGGAAAATTAGATATTTAACACACTTCGCTAAATAACTAACGCTTTCGTCAAAAAAAAGAGGGAATAAAAATGTGAAATGGCAAATGCTGTGAAGCAGGTGATTTGTATGTGATGCATGGTTGATTTAATTAAGTGTAATAGCATTTAAAGTTAGCACATTTCAGCGTTTTCATCATTTCAAAAATTAAAATATATAATGTAAAAGACAAGTAGAA